GTTCTCCATAAAGCCGGTTTGAGAGGGATGAATGATGTCTTCCATTACAGGGATCATTCTGTTAGCTAAGGCTTTTGACAACATTTTGTGTATTACTATGAGAAGTGTGATAGGGCGGTAGTTTCTAATATCCATTTTATCCCCCTTTTTATATAGGAGGGTTAATACTCCTTGCCCCACCCTTTCACCCATCTCGCCCGTGAGCCATACCTCTTTATAGAAGTCCATGATGTCTTGACTCAGGAAGTCCAATGTGGTCTCCCAAAATTCTTTGGGAAAGCCGTCAATCCCTGGTGCCTTTTCCTCCTTCATTTGCAGGAGGGCGGTCCAAATTTCCTGCTTGGAGATTGGGGCCTCTAAAGAGTTACGCTGTTCAGGTGTCAATGACTTGTTTACTGGTTCCAAAATATCTTTTAGTTGACGATCGTGGTACCGTGGGTCTGATCTGTCAATGTGCGAGGTGAAAAGGTCCTTGTAAAAGTTATATGTTATTTTGGTGCAACGTGTCGTGGACACGACCGGATCCGATTCCATGGCTTGTGGTTCGTAGAGCGCCTCGATCGTTGTCCTTTTGAAACGAGGTCTAGCTAGGCTGAAGAAGTGAGCATTCATCACTCCTTCGGTCGAGAGTCTGGATAACCTTGCCCTTATCTGGGCTCCCTACCATCGATACTATGAGTGCTTCAAGAGATGAGCTTTTAAATCTAGTGTTTGGGTTTGTAATTCATCGGAAGTTGGTTCCTGCCCTTGCGAAAATTATTTTTGTTCGGCGTCCATGAGGTTTTGCATTATCATGATTTCCTGTTGGTATCGTTGTGTAACTATATGTTTGGAATACTTGTTACATTTTTTTGCCAGAAAAAACAATCCGTTGTTAAACCATGCAATTTGAGAGTCTTGTTGGGAGCGGTGCTCCTTGCAGAAGTTTCAAACCTGCTGTAGGTACTTCTGGAAGGATTTAGACTAAAGCAGAGAAGTGTTGAGTTTATAGTAGATGGCCCCCTGATCTGGTCGTTTCCGGAAGGTCCAGACTGCCATACACATCTTGTGGTCCAGGCCTGGGTGCGGGCTGATCGACAGTATTGCTGCCAAGGTAAGCCCTCCACTCAAGTCCTCGGACGCCAGGATTAGATCTATTCTAGATTTTGACAGTCTGTCGGGGTTATTGTTTCGCAAACAAGTAAAGGCCTTTTCGGTCGGGTGACTACGCCTGAAGGTGTCAAAAAGTGAGAGGGGGGCACACAAACCCCTCAGCATCCTCTCGTCCTCCGCTGCGTTGTGTGCGGTAGTAGGAGGGGTTCTCCAACGGTCCAGCCATCTGTCCGGTGCGACATTGAAATCTCCTGCTAAAATTATTGGAATATCGGGGATGGGGATCATTTCGATCTTTTCGAAAAAAAACCTTATTTCTCGAGGAGTGTTAGGAGCGTAGATGGATACAATGCATACTATTTCTAACTCCAGCATGCCCAACACCTTAACCCATCTTCCTTCCACCATATCCTGTTCCCAGTTGAGAACTTCGAAGCGTGATTCGGGCGGAACCCATATAGCCACCTCGGCACTCCCTGGAGAAGGGGCAAACGCTTGGTATCCTTGAAAGGGACAAACTTGCTTGTGTGCCCTGTGATGTTCTGGTATATCCATTAAGTGGGTTTCCTGGACGCAAATTATATCCGGTCATGTTCTTCCCCCCACTCCCCGCATTAGGTCCCACAACGCATTATATTTTTTCCGGGTTGAGGGTTGCTAGACCGTTTACATTGATCGATCGAATATCAAGATATGCCTGATGAAGAGTGTGTTTCCACTTTTGGTTTTTACCATACACCACTTCCACCCAGTCCATTTAGAACGTGTGTTCCCTCCCACTATTTGGTTTGAAATGGTGACCAATCCTGTGCTTCCCAGTCTACTCCCCTGTTAAGAATGTTCTTCCTTAGTATTGTGCATATACAGGTGAGGAGGTCGTCCGTCGACCAAATGTTACTAGGCTTAATTTTTAGTTGTTGGGTGTCCAGAAGCAAGTTGTGTGTGAGCCATTGCAAACCTGCTTCCTTGTTGTCCTCAAATCTCACGTATATGTCTTTATAAGCCATCTTCAGGTTTTCCGAAGATACGCTGATAGTGGCCATTGCCCGTGGTTCCTATTGGTTTGTGATAAAGTCTGTGACCTCGTGGACTCGTAGTGTCCCCTCCCTTTTCATGTGCCAACTATGCAACGTCATCCCTCCGTAGGACGGGGCGTATGAATCCTCTGAGTCAGCCGGGGACAACCAGTTCCTATTTTCCTGACTTCCTTCTGATGGGAAGTACCAACACTTTGTCCCCTTTTGGTAGACTTTTGTGGTACAACCCCTTCTCGATGAGATGACGTATTTTTAATCGTTTGGAGAGTCCTGCTTCTTCTGCATTTCTTGCACCTTCATCCTTCCCTTGTTCGATTATTTCTATGTGCAAAGCCGGTTGTGTATTGTCAGGAGGGAGAGGGGGTTTGTTTGTGCGACCTGAATTGTCAGCGCCTTCGGGCAGGTCAGGTATCCTGTCTGCCCGATTTAATACTTCGGGCTGGTCGGGTGCCTTCGCCGTTTCGGGGGGCTGGAACTTTGGGTGTACAATGTTCCAGACTCTATACAACACTAGTTGCCAATCCAGGTTCGGGGATAGGCCTTGCCCCAGGGCTTGTTTTAGACTGGGGCTTTCGTCTAGTAAGGTGAACAGTTGTACATAAGCCTTGTCCCTGTATGCCTCAGATTGGCCTGTATATAATGACTGAAGATGGCTAATTAGCCATTCCGCCAGACCCTTTAGCTTGGTCTCGACATCCTCCTCCCCTTGTGACCCCCAAGCCTCGGGTGTGCTGTCCATCATTTCCGCATCCGGGGGGTCCCCCGGTGATTCCCAATCCATGGTTTGGGGTCCGAACGCCTGAAAGAAAGGGTCTGTTGTGGAGGGTGTTTCCCATATGGCAGGTGTGGTTCCGGAAGGGTTCATTTTTGGGGGCTGTTCTTGCGAGGTCTGAACCACTCGGGGAGGGTCTGCTGCTGCCGCCTCCTCCGAGGCCCGGTGCGTAATCCCTTGTTGGTTGTCTTCCCTTTCCTTTCCTTTTTCCTTCCCTTCACCCGCCACCCCTTCTTGTGTCTTGTTTTTCCCCTCCCGACCGATTGGCTCATTTTGCCCCATTTCCTTGGTCTCCTGCTCGGTAGACTGTTTGTCCCCGTTTTCCAATGTGTTCGCAATAGCCTGAAATCTGTTCTCTGTTTTTTTGGGGCTGCCTCTTTTGCTCTGGTTCTGTAATTTATCATACTTGCCGGGGTGCGTTTTTTTCTTCGGGGTCGGGGTTTGCCATAGTTCTTCCAGATCCATTGGGGTGATGAAGTCCTGAGGCCTGGGTCCAATTCAAAGCTCAGTCCCCATTGCTTCGGAGCTGGTATGTTGTGTATGGACTGGTTTCTCGGAATCCTTGGAGGGGGGTTTGACGGTCTTGTCCATATGTGCCTCCATTGGTTTGGGGGTAATCCATTGATCTGGGGGTTTGGTATTCCATTCCACGGCCTTCCCTTTTTCCCATTCCCATCCCCTCACCCCACCTCCCTCTCGTGGCTCATCCGCGCATACCCATCCTTCGTGTCTTGCGTCGACCGTCCTCCACCGGGTGTTTTTGAAAGGGTCACGTATCAGGCGCCCTGTGGATCTAATCCTTTTCGCCGGGTGGTGGGGGCAGTCAAATTATGTCGGGAGGTGGCCGTAAGCCTGACATTTAAAACACCAGGGTCTCGTTTTATGCGCCGTGTGGATTCTGAAGTCTCGCCCTCCTACTCGGAAAAGGATGACGTCGTCGAGGTGAAGATGCGGCCTTTCGGAAGATCGAGGGCTACCATAAGGTAGTCATCTCTTGGGGTCACGTGGGGTGGGAAAGGATCGATGAAGTCAACAATTTCGTATTTTTGGGCTAATTCTTGCACAAAGGCCCCTTGAATTTCAATGGGCACATGACGAAATTCCACCCAATAATGGTCAGACGTTAATCAGTCCCTCTTTTCCTCTGGTCTTTGCTGTTTTCGGGGAGACCAGGGGAAAATCCGAACCTCCGAACGCCCGCATGGTATGCTCCGCCATGTGTCCATGATTCTTTTGTACGAATCAAACATGCAAATTACCGTGACTACCGTTGATGAGATAGGCTGGATCAGGAAGAAGTCTCGCGCGTCCTCCTCAGATCCTTTGAGGGTTGTGAGTCGTTTCCTGATCCACCCTACCTTATTGTTGGTAGACTTGTAGGCAGCGTCGTCATAAAAGACCCATGTACTCGCGTGTCGAGTGTATATTGCATCCCTTTCTTTGATCACATCACCTGGAAGTGCTTTTACCCTTTGCTTTTTTCCCACTTGGCTGATCATCTTATCTTCTGGATTAGCTAAGAATTTTGCCAGGAAGAAAGCTGATGCTGTGGTTAGATTGTCCATTGGGATTTCCAGGTTTCCTTCCCCCTCTCCATTTCTTCTGACTGGCAAGATTTGGCCTGTGTACATTTTCTTGAGCTTGTCCGCCCACGTAGACCCCCGGGATTGACTGTTATTAACTTCTTGCCTTTTCTGCAGGTCTTTCATTTCCTTCAACAGCTCTGCCGGGGAGGGGGGGGATTGTGAGGGGGATTGTGAACCTTCTGTGTGAATTGTGGAAGGGGGTTGGGAGGATGACGCTTCTGCCATGGTTACATCCTCCCTCCTCCCTTCTTCGCGCCGAGGCCGCCAATCCGACGAGTGGTGCCCCATGGCACCCTGATGCCAAATCGTCCGTGGCTGCCCTTTTCCCTTCCTAGCCTCGTTTTTTAAGCTCGCCATGCCTTATTATGAGGGGGGTGACGAATCTGTGCTCAGTGATCAGTGCTCACGCGTGGGTTGAAGACGACTGTTGCCTTTGTGAAGGAGAGTGTTGGCTAAAACATACTCGTCTGGTTCCTAGTTTTCGGAAATCGAATCCCCCGTACTCTTCTGAGGGGGGGGGGGGGGGGGGGTAGGAACCAGCCCCAGGGGGGGTGCACAAGGTGGCAATCTCAGGGAGAAGAGGGTAAGGGAGGTGAACAAGGAGATTGGGATGGGCGGGGTCGGGGCATGGGTCGGGATGGGTCAGAATCAGAATGGGATCGGAATGGGTGTCGGGTCAGGAAAGAACCATGCCGAGAAGGGTGGAATGGGCGAGGTCACTGGGATGGAATAGATCGAAGGGGACCGATGACCCGGGGGGTCAGAAGAGTATCGAGAGATGACCCGGGGGGGGCGGAAAGGGGCCGAGAGACACACGAGTCGTGATGGGACAGGTTCGGGCGGGTCGGAACAGGGTTGGGAATCAGGGAAGGAGATGGGGTCGGGGAGGGAGATGGAGCAAGGTCGGAGCAGGATGGGTCAGGACAGGGCGAAAGGGAAGGCTTTCCGATCGGGACGGGTCGGGATAGGGCGAGGTCAGCCCGGGGAAAGATCGGGATGGACGGGATCGGGGCGGGGACGGGGTGGGGTGGGAACAGAACGGGGCTAATCTTCTGTGTATAGCTGTGAACAGAACAGGTCGAGGTGCAGTGATAATGACCAGGCGTTCGGAGCATAATTGCCCATCCCTGTTGATGTGTGTGTGCGTGCATGAGCTCCCTGCTTGAGGACAGGGTGGGTTGGTGATATTGGTGATGATGGCAGCAGGAAGGGGTTGCTTCGCTTTGAGGGTATATTTTAAAATGATTTATTTTAGTCATCTGGTTGCATCAGGATTCAAACTCAGGTCTGTATTTTAACACCTCACATGGATGTACCAAGTACTATCAACACTACCAACTGAGCTTTGCGGGTAATTGTTTTTTTAGACAGGCATTTCTTTTATGTTACCAACCACCATAAAGTCAGACTGATGGATTGGGCTGAATCTTACCGAACTAACCTGAGTTAGACCAAGCTTTTTAATAGGCTTGGACTGAATCTTACTGAGGGTAATTTCAGGATGTACCAACTGAGCTTTGAGGGTAATTTCAGTCCAAGCTTTTTAATAGGCTTGGACTGAATCTTACTGAGGGTAATTTCAGGATGTATGAACTGAGCTTTAAGGGTAATTTCAGTCCAAGCTTTTTAATAGGCTTGGACTGAATCTTACTGAACTAACCTGAGTCAGACGTAACATAACTGAGACGACCAGCTATAGACCAAACCTAACTAATAACTGACCTGCACTTCCGTCTATGGATCGGGCTGAAAGTGGGACCTGAGCTAGATTGGAGCACTGAGGCCGGAAGGGTGCGAAGGGATATGCCACGGATACTTTCCATTAGCTGTGAGAGCTAATGCCTCGCGTAAAGTATTCGGCTGAAAAATTTACGTGAGGCATTTAAAAGGGATTTGAAACTCTTAACCTTAACGAGTAATGTAAGTGAATCTAAGGTCAGTTTGGCCGAAATGTATCGGCCGAACTGACGTCAGTTTGGCCGAAATAGATCCAACTGACCTAGCCTGGACCAGACCTACCATCTCCACCCGAATAGAGCGGCCGGTCATTATAGCTGCATTTGGTCTGACTTTCAGTCTAGATGCAGCAATAATGACCGGGCGTTCTATTCGGGTGAAGATGGCAGCCTAAGTGAACCGACCAGCTTCGGACTAAACCTGACCTTAGCTGACCTGCACTGGGCTATGCCCGACTCAATTGAGCTGGGTCTAGACTGAAAAACTGAGACTTGGGCTGGACTGCAATGTAATGGACCTAGCCTGGTTTATATTAAGTATGAATAACTTTATAGTAAGTTTATAGTACTTTATACAGTTAACTGAAGGTACTGAATGGACATGAGTTTGACTGAATTGGATCTAGCTGTGTTTGGCTGGAATGCTGATTGGATTTGCTTTCAAAAACTTTCCCCTCGGCCCGGACCACCTGCCCCCCCAACCCCATTTTTAGACGAACATCATTGGGTGGAACTGACTGTTGGAGGTGATAAGAGCATTTTGTCTCTTTGTCTCTAAAACTTGATTGGTGTTGGAATTGATAATGGCTGCCAGATATTATCTGCGTCTTGGACAAATGATGGCCAGTACCTTGCCTTGGGCCACTACAACGGACACGTTAGCATCAGGGATAAACAAGGAGCAGAGCAGGTAAGACAACTAAGGGAGAGGAGTGAAATAGTAGTTCCCCCCCCCCATCCCCCCCCCCCCTTTGGCAAAATACACACACACCCCGCCCCACAACGCCCCCCTCTCCCCCCTGCCACCCCCCTCTGCCAATCCCTCACTGCCCTCCCCTGTCTTTGGTCTCCCCAAAAGAAGAAGGAAAAGGGCCAATTTGGTCAAAATGGAGAAGATACGGACTGAATTCAATGCGAATTGCCCTTTCAGAATGAACCTGCAACCCTCAGACGTCCACATGCGGCTCATGCGACTATCTGTCTGTACGATGCAGGTACATGCTGACAGGCCAGTGTCCAGGTTCCATAAGGGGTGAGCTTTATTTATTCGGGTTGGGGGGTGTGTATTATTCGAACTCTCAAGGTTGCCCTGTATTTCAGTTCAGAGGGTGTTTACTTTTCAGACTCCATGGGTTGTGTTGTTTGGTCGAGTAGCAGACGGTACTACTTTTAACCCACTATGGTAACTTAATGGGAATCTGAGCACAGATTGTTGTTGGGTTAGGGATGTTCCTTCAAGTTGCGTTTGTAACGATCCCAGTTCACTCATGATGCAAAACTGAAATTTAAGACAATGCCTTGAGTTTCGACAAAAGAGTGGAAGGGAGGCGAGAAGAAGAAGAAGAAGAAGAAGAAGAAGAAGAAGAAGAAGAAGAAGAAGAAGAAGAAGAAGAAGAAGAAGAAGAAGAAGAAGAGGAGGAGGAGGAGGAGGAGGAGGAGGAAGAAGAAGAAGAAGAAGAAGAAGAAGAAGAAGAAGAAGAAGAAGAAGAAGAAGAAGAAGAAGAAGAAGAAGAAGAAGAAGAAGAAGAAGCAGCCAATATAATCCCCTCCTTCATCTGCAACCTCATCATGAACCTCCAACTCAACACGTCCTCATTATCGATCCGCCAATAATAATAAAATAACGAATCGGTGAGCAAAGAGTCAATGTTCAATGGGCGCCACAACATTGCACTTGTGAAAGAACCTCCCTGCAGCTCCCCTACTTCTTTTCTCTCATCCTGTAGCAATTCTAACTCTGGGAGGTCATTCTGCAACTCAAGAGAAATCTACAGAGGGCAACAAACCACCTACTTTTCTTTTTTTTGGGTCACTGGTTGCTGTCAGACTTTCTGCAGCTCAGGTCAGCTGCAGGAAGGTACTCAGAATTGCTCTCGTGGAGTCTCCTTTCTACGTTCTCCTTTCTACATTCTCCTTTCCTTTTCTTGGGTTTTCGGTTTTCCATCCTGTTTTTTGGATTAGTGTGTGCGTGATTATCGTTTTGTGGTTATGGGTTGCCTGGGTTCGTAGCAGGTGTGTTCTTTCAGGGGATCATGGTTTTCCATCCTGGCTTTTGGATTTATGTCTGTTTCCTTTTTCTACGTGAAGTGTTTCCTTTTTCTTTTTTTTGTGCTTATGGGTCATCCTGGGTTGTAACCAGGTTTGCTCTTTCTTGGGTGTATGGTTTTCCATCCTGCTTTTCGGATTTTGTCTTTATTTTTTTTAAGTGTGTGTGCGTTTTACGTTTCCACCACAACAGCCCCTATTCCACCCAGGGGAGTACATTCGAGTTGAGCCAGCCCAAAAATTAAGGAATTTCACCTCTTTAGCAAGCAACATAAATCATAATAAAACCGTTTAGAACTGTGCTTAGCTGGAGTTTCTTCGGGGCAACAGCACCTCTTTTACTATGCCTCACACGTACAAGGCTGCCCACGTTGATGGTGGTTTAGCGGCAGCTGCCTACATCCCCGTGTGCCTTAACGGCCCACTTGCACGTTATAGCAGGGGGTAGAGTAAAGGGGAAGGTATGCTCCTGTGCATTTCACTTCAGATCTTCATACACCTCTTCATTTCGCTTCAGATCTTCAGCTTATACTTCGTCTTTGTGTCTGTCGTTCGTCTTCATACTCCTGTTCATTTCACTTCAGATCTTCAGCTTATACTTTGTCTGTTCTCTTAACGATGCGCATTCGTATGTATTTGCTAGTAGCACATAAAGGGAGGGTAGAGGGAAAGGGATAGACGGCGGAGTTCTATAGGAGTGCAGAGTTCTATAGGAGTGTGGGGTAGGGGGAAGTGGAGTCTCGCTAAGGGCAGGAGATAAATGTGTGAAGGGTAGGATAGAGTATGACATGCAAAGGGAAGGGGAGAGGTGTATGACGAACTTTGCAGAATTCTAAATACTCACAGCTAGAACAGACTAGTCTAGAATGGCACATGAGGTCAGTTCGTGTTTGGGTTGCATAAGATTTTGAGTTGAGGAGAAGCTATTGCCTATGGTAAGTGGCCGACCCTACAGACCGGACAGGACCGGTTCGAGTGTGGACTGTGGAAGCACTGCATCCAATTTTCGCAGTCGCCGTTGCTGCATCGAATGGCGTGGCGCAGACAGACGTCACAGGCTACGTGGCTCCTACATACTAGGAACACGGAGGCACATCGACCGCAATTATAGACGCATTGCTGTTCCAGCCCCTGTCTACAAATTGGACATGACATGTCAGGGTGCCGTACACGAGTACACTACTGGCTGTTATTGTATCTATGAAAGCAAACACTCGCATGGACTATCCCTTCACAATCCTCACGGCGCAAGGCATGTGAACCACATGCTAGTTGAATCTTTGGCGGGTCATCACAAAGCGGAAGCAGCAAGGCAAAACAAAATTAGGCAAAGGGTGGCGAGGCGTTTAACGACGAGCGGCTGGAGGGCACGGGGAGGCGGGGGGCCAGACAAACAGCACAAGGCACGAAGAGAATAGCACAAAGTACAAATGTCAAACTGGAAACAACAACAACAACAACAACAAAGAGGGAGAACGAAAAAAAAGAAGAAACTGATGATGATAGATTGTGTTGTCGGAGTTGCACCGACTCATCATGAGGCTGAACCCTCCACATCTTCGGAATCCCCATATTGATATTTTTGGTCATGAACACTTTCACGCTTGTTGAAAGTGGGCGACCCACGAAGAAGCGGAACATGGCAGTAAGGCAGTGACTCAGCAAAGCATCAGCACACGTGGTTAATAGGTGGTGTCATTTTCGCCAAATTTTTCACCGTTTGGTCTTTTGATGTTTGTATTATGAGACTGCATTGTTTGTTTTTAAAAATTTTCCACCGCGTTGCTTGTGGCGATGCGCCGCAAAGCATCGAATTTTCGGCCTTCCATTAACCATCTCTCAGCGTCAGGCGATGCTACCGGGGTAACCCAACTGCACAGCACCACAGCTTCTTGCATGGAACCGCAGCGCACGCGCACAGGCAGCAAGGCAACAACACAGCGAAGCACATAGCAGTGCTCCGCGAGCAGTCAAACAACACGGCACACAAGCAAAACACACAGGAAGACAAGGCACAAGGATGGGAAGCAAGGCACAATGCAGCAAAGCACAAAGCAACACTGAGAAGGAAACCAAACTATACGACAAACACAGCAGCTGCAAGGAAAGACAAGGGAAGGGGGATGAGCAGCAAGGCAGCGGACGCGAACAGACAAGGCAGTCCACACATCCAACACAGACCAAAGCAATCTGTCACCTACTACTCATACCACAAGTCGAACTCCAAGGACTGTTGGTTCCCATCACCTTCTGAGACAGGAAGCAACGCCGTGGAACGTCTATCATTACCAATAGACTATTTGCATGACTGACATCACAAACAGAGCGGCCCCATTGACAGTCCTGCAGACAGCCCACCACCGACTGTTTGGCACTTCTTAGAGGTGCTCAATTAGGCAAAGTAATTAGAGAAAATTACAGACATACAAAAAAAAGTTGAAAAAACTGATTTTGTGTGTGTGTGTGTGTGTGTGTGTGTGTGTGTGTGTGTGTGTGTGTGTGTGTGTGTGTGTGTGTGTGTGTGTGTGTGTGTGCGTTCTTTTGTGCTTTATGTGTCATCTGGGGTTCGAACCAGGTGTTGATTGAACGAACTGCGCCAGTGTGGACTTTACAATGGAACCCATCTCGGGATGAGCTCCACGACGTGCTGTGCGTAGGCTGCTGGGACCGAACCCTCTCTTTCTACAAGCTCAATGGAATGCAGGTGAGCAAACCTCCACTCCTCTTGCTTGGCCCCTCCTCTCCTCTTGCATGTCGGCAAAGCTTGGCTTGCAAGGGGAATCCGCCTCGGCAAAAAGAAGCTCAGATCTACTGGTGGTTTAAGCCCGAAGCATCAGCCATAGGCCCATTTTCCGAGGGCAAGTCAAATAATTACACCAACGAAGAAAACAAAAATTACACCAAGAAAAGACATTAAAACTTTAGAGTCTGGGTAACTTCATGCTCTACTTCTGTGTGATGCTGTTCTGGTCTGTGTTTCTTTTACATCTGTTCTTGTCTTTTCTTATACCCTAACTTATGGGTAGACGTGACTACCGCCATCTGCTTTCTGCCGTGGTGTGGTTACATTGGTTTACCCTAGTGGTGAGGAGTAACCGTTCGAAGCAGGGTAGTGGTTGGGCCCTCCTGAAGAGAGGCTTGGACAAGCACAAGCCGAAACGCATCGAGGGAATGCCTGTTTTTTTGACGGTGTATGGTGAAAATCTAGTGATTGTAATGCTTTATGATTACTGAATTTTTACCCTCCGTGGGACAGTGTACATCTGTTCTTGTCTTGTCATATACCCTAACTTCTTCTTCTTCTTTTCTTCTTCTTCTTCTTCTTCTTCTTCTTCTTCTTCTTCTTCTTCTTCTTCTTCTTCCTCCTCCTCCTCCTCCTCCTCCCTCTTCTTCTTCTTCTCCTCCTCCTCCTCCTCCTCCTCCTTTCTTCTTCTTCTTCTTCTTCTTCTTCTTCTTCTTCTTCTTCTTCTTCTTCTTCTTCTTCTTCTTCTTCTTCTTGTGAGTCATGCGAAGTTTGTTGGCGTTGCAAGTCACGCAACCATCGTCCGTTCGGCGAGCTACACCCATTACCAGTACCCCTTGGGCGACGGGAAGCGATCGCTATGGATATCACCGGCCCCTTCCC